GTTTTGTGCTGCCCCAGGCAACACAAAAATCGGAGGCCCCCTCCGCACCCGGCGGAGAGAGCCTGACACCGACCAACAACCACCCCCCACCTGAGAGAGCCTTCCACTAACACACACCCCCCGGTGAAAGGGAGAAAGACACTCACCTTCACAGCTCTGGACATTCCCAGGAGCGACGATCGGGCTCTGCATACACCATCAAGCAGCCCGCAACCACTCTCAGATCCCACCTGGTCCCCATGCCGCATATGTCCCTTCTTCCAGGGGCAGTGCTGCCCCCTAAAATAATGCCGCCCTAGGCAAATGCCTTGGTTGCCTTGTAGTAAATATGCCCAATGCACGCAGTATTAATCTTCTGTTACCTACTGGGCACAATTGTGTACACAATGCACTTGTTATATCACATACTATGTTTCTCTTCTCCAGGTATTGTCCTGAAAATGGCTTCCTGTACAGGTAATGGTATACTTCCAATTTTACCTTTCAAAATAACAAGCTCTTGAAGCAGACTATGTTATAGTATTTTATAAATCTAAAATTGTGGGGGGTTTTTTTCAGCATTTAGTTTAGATTTATTAAAGTTCAAAAGAAAATAAATAATTCTGGCAATTGCAAGGTCATGCAACGTTGTACCCAAATTAAATTTATATCATTTTTTTCACACAAATAGAGCATTCTTTTGGTTGTGTTTAATCACCACTGTTTTTTTTTTTTTTTTTTTTTAATTCGAAAATAAAACCCATGTCTTTTTTTTTTTTTTTCAGTTTCCCGTTTCCTTTTTTCTTTCTTTGTTTTTTATTTTCTTTCCTGCTTTCCCTGCGCTATTGTTCTTTATTTGAGGTATTTACAAATATCTTAAACTGCAAGTGCTTTTTGCTGTAGTGAATGAACCCTTTTTTTTTTTTTTTTTCTTCCCCCCCCCATTTTTTCTGTTTTATTTCCTTTTTTTTCATTATTTCCTTTTCTTCCTTTTTTTTCTTTTTCCTTTTCTTTGTTTCCTTTTTTTTTTCATTTCCCTTTTTTTTGTTTTTTTCATTTTTACCTTTACTTTTTTTTCCTGCATTATTGTTCTTTATTTGAGGTCTTAATATTTTAAACTGCAAGTGCTTTTTGCTGTAGTGAATGAACCCTTTCTTTCCTTTTTTTATTATTTCCTTTTTTTTTTTTTTTTTTTTTTTTCTCCTTTTTATTCGCTTCCCTTTTTTTTAATTTTCTTTTTTTTTTGTTTATTTTTCCTTTTTATTTTCCTGCATTATTGTTCTTTATTTGAGGTATTTACAAATATCTTAAACTGCAAGTGCTTTTTGCTGTAGTGAATGAACCTTTTTTTTTTTTTTTTTTTTTTATTTTCACTCCCCCCGCCCTTTTTTTTTCTCTTTTTATTTCCATTTTTTTCATTATTTCCTTTTATTTTTCCTTTTTTTTGTTTCTCTTTTTTTCATTTCCCTTTCTTTTCGTTTTTTTTTTTTTTTTTAAGACTTGTGATTAGATCTCTAGAGGCACTGTAGATCTCTAGAGGCATGTATATGAACCTGTAAAAGTTTTTTTTCCCTTTTTATTTCTGTTTTGTTTCTTTTTTTATTATTTCCTTTTTTTTCCTTCTTTTTTCGCTTCCTTTTTTTTTTTCATTTCTTTTTTTTTTTTGTTTTCTTTTTCCTTTTTCTTTTTTATTTTCCTGCATTATTGTTCTTTATTTGAGGTATTTACAAATCTCTTAAACTGCAAGTGCTTTTTGCTGTAGTGAATGAACCCTTTTTTTTTCTTTTCTTTTTTTTCCTCCTCCCCCTTTTTTCTGCTTTATTTCCTTTTTTTCATTATTTCCTTTCCCTTCTTTTTTTTTTTTTTCTTTTTTCTTTGTTTTTGTTTCCCTGTTTTTCATTTCCCTTTCTTTTCGTTTTCCTTTTTTTTTTTTTTTTTTTTTGTTTTCTTCTTTTTTTCCTTTTTCTTTTTTTTTCCTGCATTATTGTTCTTTATTTGAGGTCTTAATATCTTAATATTTTAAACTGCAAGTGCTTTTTGCTGTAGTGAATGAACCCTTTTTTTTCTTTTCTTTTTTTTTTTTTCCTTTTCCCTCCCCCCTTTTTTCCCCTTTTTTATTTCTGTTTTCTTTCCTTTTTTTATTCTTTCCTTTTTTTCTTTTTTTTTTTTTTTTTGTTTTCCTTTCTTTTTTATTTTGTTCATTTTTCCTTTTAATTTTTCTTTTTTTTTTTTCCTGCATTATTGTTTTTTATTTGAGGTCTTAATATTTTAAACTGCAAGTGCTTTTTGCAGGAGTAGTGAATGAACCCTTAAAAATATAATGAATGATCGGGTACTTGGAGCAAATAAGAACCTATGATTAATCCACCTGGTGCCCTTTGATACTTGTTGTGTGGCCCTCAGACCCCGGCAGTCAGTACTGGGAGTGGTGGCCTGTTTTTGGTAAAAGAAATAATCCAAATAGGTGTAATTATTTAGTCTGCCTCTCCATCCTTGCCTCTTTGCAAAGGGGAAGCTGCCAGAAGCTAGGTCCTCCAAGATTACTTCTTGACTGTCTTGGTTCTTGCACTGCTTCCAATGACTAACCAACAATAGACTACCTCGGGGTGGACTGACCATTTGCAAACTCGGGCACTGCCTGAGGGCCCAGGGTTAGTAGGGGGCCCCATGGGATGCCCCTGGTACCTTTTTTTCATAGGCTTTTTTGAGTTTGGGCAAGGACATGGGGCCCCATGATCCCCTATTGCCCAGGGGCCCCATGAGTTGTCAGTCCGCCCCTGGACTACCTTTAAAGAGCCCTTTTACCCAAGATTGCCGACACTGGCAAGGGCAGGGCTGACACTACCTTACTTTCTATGGTAGACCCCACTCACTACTCGAGAGACCTCTAGTGGCTACATAGGCATTTCAACTGTCTAATCTGCACTACAGGGTTCCCCACCCTAACTATGGCAACATTCATTTGCCAATTTGGGGAACTACACTGGGCACTCCTGTACACTTACCCTACGAGTCTTAAAAGAGAATGGGAAACATTTTTTTTTTTAAAATCTTACTTACATAGGTGGATACAGTATCTGGTCACCACCGGCTCTAAGTGTGAGAGCTCAGCCGCTGATCGCTAAGTTCTCACCAATGCTGTGAGCAGAGAGTGGTGACTGTCAGTCGCCGCTGTCTGCTCTGCTCCCCCGCACTCACTGGAGCGCTGAGCTGTGGAAGGGGAGGGGAGCGGCTGACTCAGGCTCTAAGTGGGTTGCCGAGAGGTGCTGCTCTAGACTCTGGAGTGGATCCCGAACATATGGTCGTGATCCTTCCAATGCTTGGATCGGCTTAGTGATGTCAGCTGACAGCTGTACTTCTCCTTGAAAACTCCACCTAAACCCAACTTTTAAGTCCAAGGTAACTTGCTAGCTAAGCACCTCCAATACAATCATGATTCCAAAGAAAACTAAGACAACCTTATTAATGTCAAGATCAACCTGAAAGCCATGACTTTCCACGGGACCCAGCTGCTGATTTGTATCTGAGTATGGAGGCCGGGCTCTGGACCTCTGGTGAGTTTAACCTGACAGAATACTTTACTGTTCTTTTTCAGAATGTGGACATCCGTCCATATCCCAGCGTGTTGTCGGGGGAAAGAGTGTCTTCCAAGGCCAGGTGCCATGGATGGGCAGCCTCCTCTACAATGGCTATCATGTCTGTGGGCTGTCTGTCATATCCAAAATGTGGATGGCCACCGCAGCTCATTGTCTACGGTAAGTTATCTACCATAACTCCATTTGTTTCTATATTACAGTGCCCCTTTAAATTACAGTGCCTCTAGAGATCTAATCACAGTGCCTCCTATATATTTAAAGAGATGGCCCCGTCCAGCAAAGAGACATCCCCGTCCAGCAAAGAGACATCCAAATCCACAAAGAGATGGGATTTCTCTTTGCTGGAGGGGGATGTCTCTTTGATGAATGGGGATGTCCCTTCTTCGACTGGGCTGTCTTTTTTCTGGATTGGGATGTCTCTTTGATGGACCCAACTGACAACCCACCCAGCAAAGAGACAGCCCGCCCAGGAAGGAAACGGCCCATCCAGCAGAGACAGCTCATCCCCCGCAGCTACAGAGCTGCCTTAGTGTGCTGACCGGTGAAGGAGAGAGGCTGCCGTTGTCCCTTCAGTGCGGTTGTGTGTGCAGCAGCTGGCAAAGGGGGTGTCTGTGTATCCTCGGCGGCATTTCCTGCTTGTCACTGGAGCCATCACTGCCGCTCCTCCTATCAGCACTGCTTTAAGCATAGCCACACAGCGGGAGGTGAGCGGCGGCCGCAGTTTGTGTTAGCTCCGTCCAGACTGTGGTTGCCACTTACCTCCCACTATGCAGCCTGGTCATCTTCTTAAGCCTGGCAGCCCCGGCCCTATGGCCAGTCTGGGACTGCTGGTGTCTGTGGAGTGCTTGGCTGTGTTCACAAAATGTCTGACACAGATCAGCCCCTGCTGCAGCTGCTCACCTTGTGACTTGTTATAGAGTTTCAACATTTTAGTTTGATCACTAAAGGATAGAAGATTGAGGAAATGCTTCTTCCTGCCTGCAGCACACTCATGCCATCACCTTAGTCTAGACAAAGTCCGCAGAGTCACTGGGATAGAGCTCAGGGTTGAATTTTTAATGGTAAAAGGTGGAGCTTTTCTGAGAAATGATCTTGTTGCAAGTCAGGAATTTATGTATAGGAACCTGTAAAAGGTACTGACAGGTCCATTTTAAGAGTCATGTAAATGGTGTAAAATGCCAATTAATGAAGTTCACCCAATTTCGACTCCTTATGCAAATTGAAGAATGATTGCCCCATAGAACTTCTCCCCATAGGAAGTCCTCCTTCTTGTAGAACTCCTCTTGCTATATTCCCATATGAAGTGCTTGTCAATCAGCAGTCCCTGTAAGTACATGGCTGGGTGGTGGAATGGCTAATGAAATCAGTGACCGTTGTAATGGGGATGTTTTGAAGGTTTGATTACGTTCATTCTTTCTTTCACAGTGGAAAAGATCCTACAAAGCTCTCCGCCATGCTGGGCACCGTGAATCTCACTGGTCCGAGCAGCACCAGAGTCACCATAGATATAGAAACTGTCATCCCCCACCCGCACTACAATGAATATAACTTCGGTGGGGACATTGCATTGCTTAAATTGAAGAATCCCATAAATTTCACAAGCAACATTCTTCCCATCTGCCTCCCTGCTCCCAATCGGAACTTTACCGATGGAATGTTGTGTTCCCTAACAGGGTGGGGGTCGACTGCAGAAGGAGGTGAGTGGCATTCGGTTCCCAAGGAGCTAGCACCCAACTGTACATGTGGTCCTTAATGAAAGCTCATAGATAGGTCATGTCCTTTGCGTTTTCAATGCATTCTACCATTCCATAAAGAACGGAGCCCACGGCGCACACCAGCAAGATAGCACCATGTAACCGATGGATAGGATGACATAAATACGAATCACATGGCATCAGCATCAAACACACCACTCACATGATGTGTACATATGTGTCTGTATAAACATACATGTAAAAACATAAACCAAAATAGGAATGGGTAGCCGTAAAAGTATTTCAAAGTGACTGCCATATGAAAATGATGCTGCCAGAGAGCCAGGAGAGGCCATGCGGATAGGTGCAGAGTGGTGTGGCGGGCAGTAATCACACAGAATCCGAATATTGCTGTCTCCCTGTGACCGAAGAAATATTGGAGCAAGCAGGTTCCTCACAACTTCCTTCCTCATCTGCATTGCCACTATGGTTGAGTGCCACTGGCGTTGGAGAAGTAACCTGCACCTTCCTACACTATCCTGCTGAATACGCCAAGTGTGGGTAGGTGCAGCGTGGTGTGGCGGGCAGTAATCATACAGAATCCGAATATTGCGGTCTCTCTGTGACCGAAGAGATAATGGAGCAAGCAGGTTCCTCACAACTTCCTTCCTCATCTTCACTGCCACTATGGTTGAGCGCCACTGGCGTTGGAGAAGTAACCTGCTCCTTCCTACACTATCCTGCTGAATACGCCAAGTGTGGGTAGGTGCAGAGTGGTGTGGCGGGCAGTAATCACACAGAGTCCGAATATTGCTGTCTCCCTGTGACACAAAAGAAATAATGGAGCAAGCAGGTTCCTCAAAACTTCCTTCCTCATCTGCATTGCCACTATGGTTGAGTGCCACTGGCGTTGGAGAAGTAACCTGCACCTTCCTACTGAATACGCCAAGTGTGGGTAGGTGCAGAGTGGTGTGGCGGGCAGTAATCACACAGAATCCAAGTATTGCTGTCTCCCTGTGACCAAAGAAATAATGGAGCAAGCAGGTTCCTCACAACTTCCTTCCTCATCTTCACTGCCACTATGGTTGAGTGCCACTGGCGTTGGAGAAGTAACCTGCACCTTCCTACACTATCCTGCTGAATACGCCAAGTGTGGGGAGGTGCAGCGTGGTGTGGCGGGCAGTAATCACACAGAATCCAAATATTGCTGTCTCCTGTGACCGAAGAAATAATGGAGCAAGCAAGTTCCTCACAACTTCCTTCCTCATCTACATTGCCACTATGGTTGAGCGCCACTTGCAGTGGAGAAGTAACCTGCACCTTCCTACACTATCCTGCTGAATACGCCAAGTGTGGGTAGGTGCAGAGTGGTGTGGCGAGCAGTAATCACACAGAGTCCACGCTCGGCAGTAGTAATATATTTTAGAAGAGTTCAACAAGTACAAACAGGGCCGGCAGGGAGGCAACCCATCCAGAGCCACTTACAGCTGTAACCACGTTGGAGACATAGTCTTCAGACCTGGAAATGCTGATCGTGCCTGCCATGAGGAGAAGAATGAAGCCTGGCTGATCCAAACCCAATGAGGGGGCTTCCTAAGAGAGGTTGGCATAGTCTCTGCATTTTCACTTCTCTTCCAGAACATTTCCCTGACTTCCCCACATCCAATTGGATAGATGCCTCCCTATAAATAAGGAAATCCTAGAGGAACCAAGTTCCTCACAACTTCCTCCCCCATCTGCATTTGTCCCTACGGTGGAGCGCCACCTGCAGGGGACAACATAGACTGCACCTGCCTGCAGGCGCTCTGTATAAGACCAGCTAACAAAAATGTAAACTTAAAGCGGTTGTAAAGGCTCAAGGTTTTTTTACCTTCATGCATTTTATGCCTGTCTGCAGCAGTGCCCCCAGTCCCCTCAATACTTACCTGATCCCCATCGAGATCAAGTGATGTGCACGACTTCCTCGGTTGTCCCAAGTCTTTGCCTCCTCATGGCTGAGACAGCAAGCAGGAGCCAATCGTAGCCAGTCAGCCAAAGAGGATAGAAAGGGGGCGGGGCCAAACCACAGCTCTGTGTGTGTGTGAATGGACACAAGGACCAGTGGGTGCCCCCATAGCAAGTTGCTCGCTATGGGGACAGCTGACAGGAGGAGCCAGGAGAGCCTGCGGGGAACCCGAGAGGAGCAAAACCACTGCACAGAGCAGGTAAGTATAGATATGTTTGTTATTAAAAACAAAATGAACCTCTAGTATCACTTTAAGGCACATAAAATCATAGTGTAGCAAGTCAAATTAAAGAAATGTATTGAAGGTAAAAATTGCACTCACAAAAATGGTGGAAAACAGGCAGGCAAGTGTGGAAATCATGGGGGACCATAGGCATGGCATCGGCATACCCCAGCCTTGACCACCAGCATGGGGATGTAGCCAGGACCAGGGTGCTGCTACCCGATGTGGATACTATCCAAAGACTGCTGTGACAGGTCTACGGAACAATACTTTTTCATCTTTGTTGTTTTTTGACATATTACAAATGGTATGCTGGACCGGCATAGGTCAACCCGAATTTAGAGTAAGGGCTTTAGAGTAAGAGATCTTGTGGCATTTGGGAGGACAGTTTAATTTCTTCTCCATAATATTTTCATAAGGGATGGTCTCATCTATTAATTTCACCTGAACTACCATTTTGGAGGATGAGTTCACCAAATAAAAGCCATGACTTTTCAAGCTGCCTGTGTTCATAAAAAGGACATGTTTTGCCAAAATGTGCCACTCATCCCTAATAATGTCTTCTTTTTCCAGCTCCTTTACCTTTGCCATACATGCTACAGGAAGTGAAGCTCCCGCTGATAAATGCCGTAACCTGTGATCAAATGTTCGCTGATAAATATGGAGACATTTACACACCGGGTACTATCCTCAGTAACATGACCTGTGCTGGCTATGCCAACGAAAGCAAAGATGGTTGCCAGGTGTGTAAAACAGACTTTTCTTCTTTTTACTGGAGATTTATTTAGCGCTGACATCCCTTGCAATCCTATACACGGGTAATGTTATAAACAAGGCTAAGTTGTTCTAGTTGTGCAAAAAAAAGTCATTTGTTTTGAGAAGTGAGTATGAGTCTTATAATGGGTCCTTCACCAAATGAGGCTACATAATGAGTCCTTCACCAAATGAGTCTACATAATGAGTCCTTCACCAAATGAGTCTACATAATGAGTCCTTCACCAAATGAGTCTACATAATGAGTCCTTCACCAAATGAGTCTACATAATGAGTCCTTCACCAAATGAGGCTACATAATGAGTCCTTCACCAAATCTAGTGGGATAAGTGGCAGACAAAAAGAGGTGGTTTTAGCTGAATCTTAGCTCAGCCCCCTTACAGAGTGAAGCCTCTTCCCTGGCATTCAACAGTTCAATGTCAATGCCCAATGCTTCATGACAGTGGTCTCCAAATTGTGGCCTAAGGGCCAGATGTGGCCCTTTTCTTGTCTTTATCAGGCCCTTGGGTCACAATTCCTCCCACCAAGACACTAAGACACCTAGATATAAGACACTATTCCTTCACCAATGATGGGGCATAATTCCTGTCACTGATGCCAACAATAGGGCTCTATTCTTTCCACTGACCCCAATGATGGGGCACTATTCTTCCCGCTGACACCAATGATGGGGCACTATTCTTCCCGCTGACACCAATGATGGGGCACTATTCTTCCCGCTGACACCAATGATGGGGCACTATTCTTCCCGCTGACACCAATGATGGGGCACTATTCCTCCCACTGACGCCAATGATGGAACACTATTTTTACCACTGACACCAATGATGGGGCACTATTCCTTGTACTGACCGCAATGATAGGGCACTTTTCATCCCACTGACACCAATAATGGGACATTATCCCCCACCACCACCACTGACACCAACTACAGGGCCCTATCCTTCTCACTGACACCAATGATAGGGCACTTTTCTTCCCACTGACACCAATGATAGGGCACTATTCCATGTACTGACCCCAATGATAGGGCACTTTTCTTCCCACTGACACCAATAATGGGACATTATCCCCCCACCACCACCACTGACACCAACTACAGGGCCCTATCCTTCTCACTGACACCAATGATAGGGCACTTTTCTTCCCACTGACACCAATGATAGGGCACTATTCCATGTACTGACCCCAATGATAGGGCACTTTTTATCCCACTGACACCAATAATGGGACATTATCCCCCCCCCACCACCACTGACACCAACTAAAGGGCCCTATCCTTCTCACTGACACCAATGATAGGGCACTTTTCTTCCCATTGACACCAATGATAGGGCACTATTCCATGTACTGACCCCAATGATAGGGCACTTTTCTTCCCACTGACACCAATAATGGGAAATTATCCCCCCCCCACCACCACCACTAACAACACCAACTGCAGGGCCCTATCCTTCTCACTGACCCCAATGATAGGGCACTTTTCTTCCGCTGACACCAAAAATGGGACATTATCCCCCCCCCCACCACCACCACTGACACCAACTGCAGGGCCCTATCCTTCCCACTAACACCAATGATAGCACACCATTTCTTTCCCTAATACCAACAATATTTCTCCCACTGATACCAGTGATGGGGCATCGTTTACTCCCTTTGACACCAGGCCATTTTTACTCCTGCTGGCCACAGTTTCGCTCACTCAAAGAACAGTAAACTGGCCCTTTTTTCAGAAAGTTGGGAGACTCCTGCTTTATGGTCTACTGGTCTATGGGAGTTGAATGTTCACAGGGTGGATGGTGAAGGTCAGACTTGGCACAAGGAGGAAGTGAGACTAAGTGCTG